GAACCCCCGCCGCGCCGGGCGGCGGCGAGCGCAGCCCCCGGCCCGCTGCTGCTTTTGCCTGGGGAGGCGTTTTCTCGGCGCGGCGGAGCCCCACGGCCGTTAACAGCTCTAGAAGGGCGTCCTAGGAGGGGACTTGAGGCGTCGCGGGGCCCCCGTCGGCCCGTCCAGGTGGCGAGGCGTCGTCTATGTCGTCCGCTGTCCGCAGGGATTGGAAGAGGACCAGGCAGCGTGTGCAGCCTTGTCCGATGCCCTTCCAACCTGTGCATGAGTTAGGTCCGTGCCACCGTCCGCCTGAGCAGTTCCTTTTTACCAAGGACAGACCTGTAGTGGCAGTACAGTGCTTTACTGATTGCGAGCTTGTTCAGCCACCTTAACATTTTTCCTTATTTATTTATTTATTTTTTTAAGAAAGCCGTTTTTCTGTTAGTTGCATAAGCGCATGTGTATTAAGGTACTTGCTTTGCTGCAAAGCTCCGTTAAAAATAACCACACTGTTAAAAATCTCAGCGAGCGTTGCTTTGTGAATTGAGAATCCGTTATATAAAGAATGAGTCATTTAGCCGGCTGTGGTGGCCCACGCCTGTAATCCCAGCATTTGGGAGACTGAGGCAGGAGGATCACAGAGTTCAAAGCCAGCCTGAGCTACCTCGTTCAAGACCAGCCTGAACTACAGAGGGAGACCCTGGCTAAAAAAAAAAAAAAAGTCATTTCTGTTGGGGAGAAGCAAACAAATGAATTGCATTTAATGCCCCAATGCTCTGGGGCCAAAAGATGGACTTAGCCCTAGTAGGTGGTCTCCCACATTCACAGAGGAGGTATGTGTTTTTGTCTTTCAGAATGTTGGCTACCAGGGTATTTAGCCTAATTGGCAAGCGAGCCATTTCCACCTCAGCGTGTGTGCGAGCACATGGTAAGTGTGACTCTCCTTGCTTTTGCATAGGCTGAGCTAATTCCATTTTGCTCCTGCTGTGCATAAGGCCTGTGCTGGCCTCGATTGCACTTGAGGGACTTCGGAGGGAGACAGCAGTGATTCTGGAGGCCGTTGCTCGAGATGAAAGTGTGTTTCTTATTCCTGTTGAATGCTAGTCTCGTCTTTTGTTTGTACTGTTATTTCCTTCCTTTTTCTTCCTGTCCTTCCAGTTTTGAGGTTCAGGTTCCACTTGTGTTCAGAGAGCTTCTCCGACTGACTTTAATGGTCTTCTCCTCCCACAGGACTCCTAATCATCCAGCTTACCTTCTGTTTACATCATAGAGGGAATGGAAGCAAAAGAGCAGGGACCTCTGCTTGAGCTTGGTTTAAGTCTCATTTCTATTTTAGGTTAGCTAGTAGCTACTTAAATTTAAGAATCTAGTTCCTGAGCTCGGTGTGGTGGTAGATGCCTGTAATCCCAGCACTCGGGAGGCTGAGGCAGGAGGATTATTGGGAGTTCAAGACCAGCCTGGGCTACAGAGTGAGCTCAAGGCGGGCTTGAACTGCATAGTGAGACCCTGAAAAAGACAAAAAAAAAAAAAATTCTATTTCCTAAACCAGGAGTGATGGCACATACCTGTAATCACGGCATTCAGGAGGCTGAGGCAGGAGGATCAGTGCATGGTCTACACTAGCCTGAGCTACATTGGGACTTCAGGGTCAGTTTGAACCATGTAGTGAGACCCTGTGTCCAAAAAAAAAAAAAAGGGAAAAGAAAAAAGAATCTACAAGTTTCAGTTCAGTGTCTAGCCCTTAGGTGATTTAGTTTTGTATTTATTGAGCATGTTCTTTGTACAAGACACTGTCAGCCATGGGGAATAGAAAGACTGTGAGCTGTGGACCTTTCCACTGTATATCTGCAGTGTAGAGAGGGCCAGATAGGGGAAGGTGGTGTTTCAGTAAGCCACGCCCCAGAGTAGAAGCCTTTGAGCTTGACCCGGGGCCTAGGCGAGGCTTGCAGAGGATTGCTGTGCTGCGGCCGGGTGAGGGCTTGGTGCAAGGCTTGGGCTGTACGGCGGGAGGCCCCGTGGCCAGTACTACCTGCTGTTCTGATCGGCGGCGCACCTCTGTTCCACGTGCTGCTGGGAGGGTGCCGCGGATGCAGACTGAGACACACCACTGTATAGAAGTGCGGTGTCTTAAATGGGGAGGGGGGCACTTGTTATGAGTACACGCGGAAAGGCGTGCTCCTTGGAACCCTAGGAAGTCGGGCACGACATGATTGCATTTTCCTTCCAGTTTGCCTTGGTTGGAGTTTCCTTAGTTTCCTTTTTTGTTTGTTTATTCCGTGTGCACCTCAAGTGGATGAAGTAGTGTGTTCTTGTGAACACATCTTGTCCTTTAACTTTTAACTTAGGACAGTCATACATGTATAATACGTGAATTTTTTCTGAGCATAACATATTAAAGCAGCAGGGGCAGGCATATTTGTGGGGTGATAGGTTAGAATTGGGTTTTTTTTGAGGGTGGAAACCTATGGAATTTGTGAATCTATAGGAAGTTCCATCTTGGTTTATGGGAGAAAAGGATGGCTCACCTACAGAAAGATAATGGCCCATTTTTAGACAGGCATTCTTAAAATGTAGATTCTTTATTTCTCAGTACTGTTATGGTTTGTGTCTGGGTGTCCCCCCAAAGACACATGCAGTCATGGGGCGGGCTTTTAGAGTTTGTGATTGATCCATGGTCCAATGCTGGGATTATGGGTGTGAGTGCTACACCCACCCTGGGGTGGATAGTTTGCATATGTAAGGGAGAGAAAGAGGCTGCCTGTCTGCTCTCCTCCCTTTTGCTCTTGTTGCTTTTGCTATCTTCTACCACCATGAATGGTTGCCCTCTGCCATGTGCCACTCTGCCTTGGAGACAGCTGAGTATGGACTGAAATCTCCACACACTGTGAGCTAAATAACGTTTCCTTCCTTAATTTGGGGTGTCAGGTGTTTTGTCCCAGCAAGGAGAGAAAAGTAACCGAGACAAGTACCTTTTTTTTTTTTTTTTAAAGAAATGTTTGGTGTGTGACACCTGTGGGACTCGGTGGTCTGTCATGGTCCCTGCGAGAAAACGGCAAGAGGATTTAGAAAATAAAGACTAAGACAAAAGCTGGGGTCAGGTGAAGTTATCTCTTGCCTGATGAGCAAGAGGCCTGACTTCAACAGTAGGGGCGTTTATTTATACCCTGGAGAAGTTGGTTAATTTCTCCCTCCCTGCCCAGCAGTCAGTTAACAAGTTACAGCTGGTTGGTTGTTCCTTCAAGGAGCTCCTGTGTTCTCCGGTGGCTTCATCCTGCACGTGTAATTATTTTCCAGCTTCAGCGGCTCCCAACAGACACCCCGCTTCCAATTTCCTGGGGACCAGGCCCAAATCTCTGAAGAAACCCTGACACCAGAGTTGGCTGTTGTTTCTAGAATATGCTGTTGTATGGCTGGGGTGCTCCAGGTTTACAGCTTTGTACCAGCTTTGGGAGGTGTACTTCATAACACATTGATTCTAGAACGTTATCACTGTCTTAGTGAACGACCCAAGTGTAAGCTGAGTGCTTCAAATCTTTAGAGACCTTTGATTGGGCTGGACTTGGTAAGAGTTTCCAGTTTACATTCATTCTTCAGTGTCTTCGTCGCTTTAGAATCTTGAGTTAAAATTGGACGGTAGTCTTGGTCATTTGGTTCGTAGGTGGGCACTGGTCCCCTGCATCTCCCAGACAGACATGCAGAGGAAGTGCCCTGCTTGCTCAGGGCTTCGTGTTTTGTTTCACTCTGAACAGGATTTGGGGGATTTTAACCATTGTATGGGGTGCAGCATTTCTGCAGGGCTTCTTCCCTCCGGACCAGTTTGGGTGCAGCTTGCTCTTGCAGATGTGGGACAGAGTTGGAGCAGTAGCTGGGTTTGGTGGCTGACCTTGTTCTGTGACTTACGGAGCACACGACTCTTTCAGCCTGAGTTCTAGGTCTGCGTGGCTCTGCCACACGTGTGTTTGTCCTCCATGGCCTGTGTGTATGTTACGTCTTGTTTCCTGTCGACGATGGGCACACTCGGCAGCAGCTGTGGATTTGCTTGCCAGTGTCTCGTGTGTTCAGCACCGCCCTTCGTGAGCAGTGTGTGTGGACTTACTGAGTTAGTGGGTGGGGCTTGCACAGCTCCTGAGCTTGTCCTCTGTCAGGCCCGGCTGGGACACATCTTGCAGATGTGCATGGTTTTGTTCTTGTTGGTTTGAGTCCTTTGCAGCAGGGCCTCCGTGTCGTCCAGTCTCGGCCAGGACAGGGAGCCCTGAGAGCCTGGGCCGACCTTGTCTGGTCATGAACTGCAGGTAGTGCCACCTCGGGGGCCATGGCCTGTTACCTGCTTTGCTTCAAGCGCTGCCCTCACTCTGCCTGGGCTGTCGGGAGCGCAGGGTCTCAAGTGTTTGTTGTCTTCAGGGAGCGTGGTGAAGAGTGAGGACTATGCCCTCCCCGTCTATGTTGATCGGCGTGACTACCCCCTGCCTGACGTGGCCCACGTGCAGCAGCTGTCTGCCAGCCAGAAGGCGCTGAAGGAGAAGGAGAAGGCCCCATGGAGCAGCCTGACCCGGGACGAGAAAGTCGAGCGTGGGTATCGAGGGAAGCTGGGGCGGACCATGGGGCTATGCAGAGCAGCCCTACCTGCAGGGTCCCTGCTGGGTTTCCTTGTGATTGTGCCAGGCGCCCAGGCCAGAGCGGAGTGGGTGGGGTTTGGGCCCTCAAATCCCCACAAGGAGCTGTGCCTTAGGACAGCGCCTGGGAAGACTGTGAGGAAACAGGCCTCCCACTGTTTTGCCCAGAGCAAACCTTGTGCTGTCCGTCCCCTCCCACGCATGCGGGCGACCCTCCACCTTGGGTCTCTGGGTGCCAGCAGAGGGCTCTTCTTCCCGTCTCAGTGTACCGAATTCAGTTCAATGAGAGCTTCGCAGAGATGAACAGGGCCACCAACGAGTGGAAGACGGTAGTGGGTGCAGCCATGTTCTTCATCGGCTTCACGGGCCTCATCCTGATCTGGGAGAAGCACTATGGTGAGTGGCCAGCGGGAGTGGGGAGCTGGACGGGAGCCCCTGGGTGGTGCTTTGTAGGCCGGAAGCCAAGGTAGTCTTGGCTGCCTTGTGTGGCAGTGAGGTGTCACCTCTGGAGCACACCACCTCCGATTAGTGGCAGCTACCGAAGTTGACTGGTAGGCCCAGCCAGGAGGGCTCATCTGCCGAGTGGCCTTCCCAGTGGTTGCAGCTTCGTCTCTGCAGTGGGAGTTCTGGGCTCCAGGCCGTCTCTCTGCTGTGATGCGGGTGGGGCGGCCTGCTCGCTCTAGCGTTGCCTCTCCCGGCTCCTGTCTAGCAGAGCAGCGTTTGCCTTTGGAGCATGTTCTCGCTGTGCCTTTGGTCTGTGGATGAGAGTTGGCAGCACCCCTGAGCCCTCTCTAGCTGACCTTCCCCCGTGGCTCCGGCAGCTCTACTCTCTGCCAGCCTGGAGACCTTGCCGTGTCCCTGCTGGAGACTGCGCTCTGCTCTAGTTTAATGAGCAAAGGGATAAAAATCCCCGGAATTGCTGTTGCCCAGAACAGAGCTGTCTGTGGGTGGGCTTGAGTGGCCTGTGGGGGTTGCCGTGGAGACAGGCTCATGCTGTCACCTTGAACCGCAGTGTATGGCCCTGTCCCGCACACCTTCGACGAGGAGTGGGTGGCCATGCAGACCAAGAGGATGCTCGACATGAAGGTCAGCCCCATCCAGGGCTTCTCTGCCAAATGGGACTATGACAAGAACGAGTGGAAGAAGTGAAAGCCGGCAGGCCGAGATCCCCCCTGAGCGGCATAGCCACTGGGTACCGCACGTCCCACTGTATCAAGGCTAATAAACGCCCTGTTTATGCGAGCTCCTTGTGTGTGACCTTTCCTTGAGAGTGACTAAGTGAAAGTCTCCATGTGAAAAGCTGGGTTTCTCCCAAGTGCCCAAAGCAAAGGTACTGTGGATGTAAGTGAAATGACAGTTTTGTATTTTACATTGTACAGGGGACATTATATAAAATCTCGGCTAGCTGGGCATGGTGACACATGCCTGTAATTCTAGCACTTTGAGAGGCAGGGGCAAGAGGATTGCAAGTTTGAGCTCACCCTTGGCATCTTAGCAACGTAGACCTTTTCTCAGAATTTAAAAAAATCTGGGAATACAGCACATCATGAAGGCCCTGGGTTCAATTTTCAGTACTGCCAAAAAGTAAAAAGAAAAAAAATCCTGTTATAGTAGCCAGGTCTGTAGAAGCTCCCAGGAGCTACTTTTCTTCTGGGCCTCAGCCCCGTCCCCCTTTCTGGGCACGCTGGAAGGGTAGGCAGGGCTGGGAGCGTGGCTGTGCGGCAGAGCGCACCACACCGCGGGGTAAGGCTGTGGTTTCATGAGTGCCATTCTGGCCCCGGCAGGCCTCTGTGGGCTTCCTGTGACCTGCTCTATCCAGGTGCCAGCTCCCTTCTGTCCAGAGGCCCCCCTACGGAGCCATCTCAGTACACCTGGCATGCCAGTAGAGGCAGGTGGCCATGCAGAGGGTCCCCTCTTTGTGGTGGGCACGAACAAGGGAGGGTGGCTCCAGAGAACCCCAGCTGTAACCGAGAGAGGAGTGGGGCCCTCAGCCGGGCAGGAACCACACGGGGAGGTCTGAAGGAAGCCAGATCCGCAGCAGGGCAACCACTCCCAGTAGAGTCCACTGCTGCTGTGGAGATGTGTTCCCTGTGCTCACAGGGCCTGCGGGCGTGCTGTGGGGAGCGGCGCGGGCCCTCTGCTGGCATCTGCAAAGCTTGAGCCTCCTGGGTGAGGCGGTGGCGGCTCCTTCCTCCCCGCGGCTCCTGCAGTGCCCGTTGGTTGCCCGCTCGGCAGCCCACTACTGACCCTGGTAGGTGGGTGGGGTTCCTGTGTGGGCCTCAGCACAACCCCAGGGCAAGGGGCTGCTTGGTTAGAAGTGGAGGGGTGTGCCCGGCTGGAGCTGAACCCTGCCTGCCGCTCAGGCCGGTTTGGGCACGGGTGGCTTCCCGTGCAGGCCGTGGAGCCGGGGCTGGGCGTGGGGGGTGCAGGCTTGTGGAGTCATGGGCCGTCCTGGCAGCTCCTTTCCTTGCTGAACCCGAGAGATCGCGGCAGTTCACTTTAATGGTGTCCTTGCTTTATTTTCTGATTCTAGGCATGGGCAGCAGCGTTTCGTAAAGAGGCGTGCACTTGGTTGGAGCGCAGGTGGCTTTCATAGCGGGGCGTGAGGAAAGCCGGAACAAAACCCAAGTCAGGTCGCTTGGTCCACGGTTGCTCTCCTGGTGAGCTGGTGACAGGCAGCTGATCTGTTAACATCAGGTCACTAATTTTTTTTTTAACTAGACTTCTGCAGTAATTTTTTGCTCCTGGTACTGGGGATTGAACCCAGGGCCTCTGCATTGAGCCCTATCCCCTGTGCTTTTTAAAATTTTTATTTTGAGGGTCTCTGACGTTCTAACCCAGGCTGGTCTTAAGCTTGCAGCCGTCCTCCTGCCTCAGCCGCCCAGAGTGCTGGGATCCCAGGCTTGCATCCCACCCTCCTGCTTAGGAGTATTTACTGATGTTACTGTGGGGGCTTGTTAAGAAAATTGCCCTTTCTACATTGGTCTCAGATTCTAAAACGCAGAATCTTCTGTTCTCTTCATCCTGTGCCCTTAATTCTCTTCTGTGTCATTTGCATAACTGGGAAGCCTTGGATGAAAGGATTCAGTCAAGATGCGTGGGTGGGAAGTCCGGGCGCAGCTGACTGGAGCAGACGCAGGGAGCGCGAGGCCTCTCCCCAGGCCCAAGTGTGGGCCCCTTTGCTCACACAGGAGTTGCTGCTGGGGCCCAGGGGACCGCCCAGGGGACCGTCCAGGGGACGGGTGACTGTGGTACTTAGTGACGGTGTTGATTCTCCTGAAAGGTTCCCTTTGTTCCTTTCGGGTGGCTGGGCTGCCCTCGGGGGCTCATCATGGAAGGAACAGGCACCCACAGGTTCCAATGGGAACGGGCCTCAGCTGGAGGAGAGGGTCTAAAAATGCTCCTTCCTAAGGTCCCTGGGCCTTGGCCAGGATGCCCGGGACACTGTGTGTCCTGTGCTGGAAATCCACGGCTGGGTGGGAAGCGGGTGTGTGACCTTACCATAGCCTTGTGCTCCGTGGGGTTGCTCTTCCTGAACCTCACAAGTGCCCGGATGCACTGCACGCTGCTCTGGTCCCTCCCCACTTAGCCTGCCCCACACAGCCTGTGTTGTGTACCGCTCTGACCCTTGGGCTGCTGATGTCTGACTTCTGGCCTCACAACTCCAGCGGGCATCTGGGAGGGAGCAGGGTCACTGCCCAGCCTTTGTGGCTCCTGTCCACGGCCTGTGGTGGCCGGGCGACTTGCAGGGGGCAGCATGGAACATGAGCTGCGAGACAGGAGGGTGACGGGGACTGGAGGGGCTGTGCAGAGGGCACTGGGGTGCGGGGAGCTGCTCAGGACGAGGCGGTGGCAGGTGGGGACAGCTCTGGGCAGGAAGAATTTGAACATGCAGGCCTCCATGGGGACAGGGTGGGGTGTGGTCCAGGGACAGAGGGGAGACCGGGGGCCAAAGCAGGGGAGGGGAGGACGGAGAGCCTGGAGCTGGCTACTCGGGCCTCGCAGACCCCTTCCTCCCAGTGGACGGAGATCGATCCGCAGCAAGCCCAGCACCCCACAGCGCCGCTGCCCTTGCACGCCCACAGCCGCCTCTTGGTTCTGACCTGGAAAGCAATGGCCAGGTGGGGCTTGGCTTCCCCACCCGGGGGCCCAGAAACAACTGGAGACAGCTGTACCTCACAGGGGATACGCAGGCATGTTTATATATATACATACATTGCGGGGGATGGAGCCTAGGCCCCTTTGTTGAGCTGTGCCGCCCTGCCTTTTTATTTATTATTGGTTTTTTTGAAACAAGGTCTCACTGTGTAGTCCAGGCTGATCTTGAACTTGAGGTGTCCTCCTGCCTCAGCCTCCAGAGTGTTGGGTGTGCACCATTGTACCCAGCTTTTTTATTTTAATATGGGCTCTTACTATGTTAAGTTTCCCAGATATGGCTTGAGGTTGTGACTTACCTGCCTCAGGCTCCGAGAATCCTATTTTTTGTTGTAGAGAATACATAAAACGTAGCATTCCAACCATTTTTAAGTGCGCAGTGGTGGCGTGCAAACCCCGCCTCCTTCCAGCCACAGAACTCTCCCGTCTTCCCAGCCTGAAACCGGGGCCATTAAACCCTCCCTTTCCTTCCGTCTCTGTGACTACTTCCTGCACCTCTGCCACCACACCGAGAGACTCGCAGACCTCGCAGGCCTCGTCTTCTGTGGCCGGCGCGCTCCGCTGAGCACAGTGTCCTCGGCTCACCCACAAAAAGCCACCGTGTGTGAGGCTTTTCCTTCCTCCAGGCTGAAGAGTGTCTGCCTGAGCTCGCCCAGCTTGTGTAGCCATTCGCCAGTCGTGGACCGTGCGTTGTCTCCACCTTGGGCCTCTGTGAGGAAGTGACCAGGAACACGCATGCACATGCATCTGGTTGCGTCCCCGCTTCAGCCTCCAATAAACACATAGACAGGTGCTGAAAGAGGCAGCGAGGGGCGTCTCTGGCTCGTCCGGATCCCTTCCGTGCAGCCCAAGTGGCTCCTGCACTGCGGTCCAGTGCTGTGATTTTAATAAGACAAACCAGGGAGTTGGGGCCGAGGGGTGCCCGCTTCCCCTGCTGGCACACAGTGCAACCCCCTTGTGGGGTTTTATCTGTCGCTTCTGGATTCCTTGCTTGTTCAGAAGTCTTGATTTTCAAGGGAATGAGTGATCCTACAAATAAAACTGGATTTTGTATAAATTCAGGCTTTCATTTCACAGAGTAGGAGAATGAAATCACAGACACAGGGAGGCAGGAGTGTGTTTGGTGGAAAAAGACCAGGGGAATCTGGAAATGGCACTGCCCCTGGTCCTCTGCTTTGGTCCTGGACAGATGAGCAGAGCCAGCAGTCCTTGGAGAGTTTTTGGAGTTAATCTGCTTGTTTCAAAGAAACCGAGTTCAGAGGGAACCAGTTATTGTGCATTTCTGCTTTTTTGTTTGTTTGTTTGTTTGTTTTTGTTTTTCTCCGGTACTGGGAACCGAACTCATGACCTTGTGCTTGCCAGGCAGGCGCTTTTGCCGCTGAACTAAATCCCCAGCCCCCTGTTGTGCATTTCCAACATTCCTGGGCGTCCCACCTGGAGGTGGGGAGTGTACTGTGCCCAAGGTTGCCGTACAAGCTCACCGAGCTGCTTGTCACATGTTACCCCAGGAGACGCAGCGGTGGCTGGGGAGAGCTGGAAGTTGACAGTGCCGTAAATGTTCGGGGCTCCTTGTACCCCTGAACCAACAGGAAAAGAAGGGGTGATTGTCCTGTGGGGGGTGAGTTGTCCCGACTGCATACGGGGACAGGGAAGGCTGTCCAGAACCAGGGTCCCCAATGGCCCGGGCCACAGGTGTGGAGAGCAGGGGCCAAGGCGTGTTCACAGCCCTCCCATCCCGCATCCCTGCCTAAGCTCTGCCCCGGCACGTCTCATGTGAGAGCCCTGCTGTGAGCTACAGGCGTGGCGGGTCTAGCGTGCACACTCCCTGTGGGGATCTACCGTAATCATAATGGAAGTAAAGCACACAATAAACACAGTGTGCTTGAAACCTCTCCCCCATCAGCCCCTGGGGCCAAGAAGGTTGGGACCGCTGGTCTAGAGCCAGGGCCGCTGCTTCCCGCAGCAAAGTGAGTGCAGAACTGCATGGACACAGGTTTCACAGAGGCAGAAGGCAAGGCCACCAGGGACTCGGCCCCTGCAGGAACGGGGGAGTGAGGGCTGGGACGGGCACGGGGTGCGGGGTGGGC